TAAAACTCTTCCCACACTGACTGCAGCTGAATGGTCTCTCTCCTGTGTGAATGCGCTGGTGGGTTTTTAAGTCACCTGACCGAATAAAACTCTTCCCACACTGACTGCAGCTGAATGGTCTCTCTCCTGTGTGAATGCGCTGGTGGGTTTTTAAGTCACCTGACCAACTAAAACTCTTCCCACAATGACTACAGCTGAAAGGTCTCTCTCCTGTGTGAAGGTGCTGGTAGGGTTGTGAAATGCTAGACTCACAGAAACGCTGCTCCTCCCTGTGCCATAATTGCAGTTTGTCCACTCCATCTGAGCAAGGCCTTGAGTGACTCTTCCTCATTCTCTGATCATGCTGGGGTCTCTTATTCTGCAAATGCTCCATGGAATGGTCTTGCTCTGTGTGCTGAAACTGAGATTTGTTTTCTCCACCGTGTCCTTCAGTGTGCTGTTCAGCAGTGTGAATCATCTGGGGCTCCTTCTCCAGCTCTTTGAGACTAAAACTGTCAAGTTCATTCAGTTCTTCCTCTCTTTGCCCAAGAACAAACATACTCTCCAGCTCATTAAAACTTTCAACAATGTTCTCAGTAATCAGATTATTAAACCTGGGTGTAAAGTGATCAGATACCAAGGGATCATATGATTGTTTTAGACTCTGCAATGACAGTCTCTCCACTTGAACAGAACAAGGCCTAATTATCATCATGCGCTGTAAGAGCTGCTGTTGCTCCTCCCTGTTCTGACTCTTCTCTGTGTGCTGTGAATCAGTAGTGTTCTCTTCACCAAGTACATCAGTCTGCTGCTCTGCAGCATCAATCAACTTGGGCTCCATGTCCTGCTCTGTAAGATTTAAAACATCCAGTTCTTCACTGTGCTCTTGTACAGAGACACAGCCCAGTTCATTACAACCTTGTGTAATATTGTTTGTGTCCAGATTATTTCTCTTTTCTGTAAAATCATCACATACTAAGAGCCCAGGTGTCTCACTCTCAGGTTCTGTGTTCATCATGGGCACAGAGTACAGATCCTCGACAATCCGTCTGCTCACTGTGTGCTGCTCCCTGAGTGTCTCTTTCCCTTCTGCGGCAGTGAGCTCTGTCTCCTGCATTAGACTGGACCCCCACTCCTCCTCACTGTGTTGCTGTTCAAGAGGAGCCCTTTCCCCAGCATCAGAGAGAGCACTGGC